ACTGCTTGCTGACAAGTCACAGCCTCTAAATACTACGGTGATTTCTATAAGATCAAATACGGTCCTCTATCTATGATGTCTTCAGTCTTGAAGCTACGCAATCACTGAACACTTGTCACAATCTCTTTCAACCGTTGAAGCCCCGTCTTTAGTCTTCATACCAATATCACTTTAAAAGCAAGGCATGCCTAGATTCAAATTTTAAGCTTTTCTTCTACAGGTATATTATATCAGAAAGGGTTGTGAGAAAGTCGAAACACAAGTTCAAATGATCAAAATATGTGGATTCTTACTAAGATCTTGTAGATACATTGAATTCAGACATACCAAGGGTCAATTATGTACGGTAACTTTGATAAGGTTCCTTTTCAGTGTAAGATACCAAGATGGCCGCTGCGTGAAGTCTGTCTTTGGGTTTCGATTTTATTACAAAAATGAACGAACCACTGGAGCTAGGCATGTGTAATGTGATACGCAGACAGATCATATGCATGTCTACAAATTTTGCATTCAATGCATTGTCTAAGTAAACATACATGGTAACGGCGCAAACCGTTGCTGTAGCAGCAAGAAGCATTCATAATACAAAGGCGCAAAGGACACAAATGGAAACTATGTATTCTGGTATGGATGGTTCCTTTCAAATCTTGCTTTACAATACACAGAAAGTTATGAACTACAGCATACGTAGGGTGTTTGCACTGTAAATGTGGAAGACTTCACTGAAACAGAAGGCGTGCAACAGTGAAAATGATTAATTTCTGTTATACCAACTTCAACTCAATTTTGATACGGTTATAAATTCTGTCATTAAGTTTACAACAGAAACATGTAAGTAAAAATATTAAAAATTACTTGCAACCACGTCTAACAAGAATGGGAAGTCTTCATACGAGGCAACAAAAATCGCCTTCAGAATGCCAATACTGTACTCTAATTCAGCAGAGGTATCAACGATGCAATTATTGTTCAGGGCACTGGTTGTGATTTGTTTGTATCACACAACATGTAACATTACGAAGTCATTACCGTGCCCCTCAGTGCAGAAGTGACACAGTGACTATCCACGTTTTATATTAGTTACATTCATTCTTAACCTTCAAACACATTAAAATCCTTGTTTCACTATATAAAGGCGCAGTATGTGGAGCTTCTGTGCCGTATGGTGAAAAGTGGGATTTATAATCAAGCCAAGTATTAATATTTCTCACATTTAAACTTAAGGACGTATGTAATTCGGGTTACGCTTAGGGAACAATCCACTTACTTCATGGTACTGAAACAGAAAATTTATTTTGCCCTCTACCCTTATTAAAACACGTGCTTCATAGGAGGGGGGGGGGATTCTCGTGCGTGTCGGCTGTACCGAAAACTGCGTAATATTTTTTATTTACTTCACCACCAGGTGTTTTCAAACACCTGCCATCGAGTAGATTATTCAGCTTCAGCCACATCATACCAAAATTGTTATTTGTGCTTCAAAGGAAGCGAAACGTTGACTGAAAATAAAACAAAAGATGAGGTGGGGGGAAGGAAAGAAGAACAATGCAGACTGCCAGCTATATTTGTTTACTAGTAAGTTCTGAAAGATGAATTATTAAGAAACGACTCCCTCCCTTTGAAAGAGAAACAGAGGAAAAACAGAACGAAGTTCCATGCACCCATATCGGTAAGTTACCAAGGTAACCGCAAATCATAGTGGACACGAAGGTGCAGTGGCCGGTAAGGGTCTTACCATTCCGGCGGGTCAATTCTGGTCGCATTTATAGGGCTATATACTAAGGAAAAACTACAGAAAAGCGAAATAAAGGAAGACAGACAAATCGGTAATCTCTTTGCAATTCGTCCTTGTAACCTTTTGACTAAAAATACTTACAAGTTGAGTAGCGATCATTAAGACTGTCTTGAGGGAAAACCTTCGTCCACAAAGGTCGAACAAATCTTCCAGACTGGGTCCTAACAACTCCATTACTAAAGCGTTGTATTTCCCGCATGGTCCGAAGTAGAAAACTTCAGGTATACCTTCTAGATGATGATAAAATGTGTGTACAAAGGAAACAAAGATAGGTTTGGAAGGATATTTTGGTATAATGGGAAGGAAAAAGACAGAACACAATGGATGAGAAGACGCTCTCTCTCAAAAAAAAAAATCCTCGTCTTGCGACGTGTAAGCGTGTAAGAGTAGCTTAGCAGAACGCGCTGGGGGCCGATGAGCGAGAGATGTAGGAAAACGAGACAGAGTGGGGGAGGACAGAGTTCAACGCTTACTTTCGGTACAAGAGGAGCATAATGCGGTGGGGTGGGGGAATTTGGAGCGACGAGAGCAGGCGGGGGGTAAAAGCAGCACACAAAACTTAGCTTAAAAATTATATTCCAAAATGGCTCCTAGCGACTAACAAGCTATAAATGACGTCACCAAGTCCCATAGAAAGGCAAGTAGTAAGCCCATTTAATTCAGGTCAAGGGAAGGAAAAATCATTTGGCTGCATTTCCGGAGAAAAGGGACAAGGGGGAGCGGGAAGAAAACTGCTATTACAGTACGTAAGCAAGGTGTGCGGCCCAGTCGATAGCGGTAATGTCCATGTTAATGGGCACAGGATGTTGTTTTACGCGCAATTTCTTAGAATGCAGTGAAATAAGACCATAAAGCCTGCTTAAACATGGGATCCATCCAAGACTGAAGCTGCGTCTTCGCAAGACGCATTATTAAGAACCAATCAAACCGCTCATTTATCTTCAAATTTTGGAAAAGGGAATTTAAATATATTAAAAATAAGGGCACTGCGAATTCTATACAGGTACTTCAAGCATTACAATTATTATTAACTTCTATGTGTTTATGTACATGTATTATCCTTTCTCGCCACAAATGGCATAACTATTGGAAATTTACTTATTTTATTTTTCTCGCTTGTTAAAGCTAACTTCAATTTTTCTTCGAATTGTTAATTTATTGCTATTATATACAGTGTCATATTTTGTATTTTGCTCTTTAATTATTTTTGTATATTTCTACGTACTCGTGCTAACTTTGTAACTGGCCACTATGCTGTTAACTTTGCACGTAAATAGACACGAACTGAATTTAACTGAATTATTATATTAATTTGTTTTTTCATTTTTAGGCCTAATACTGTGCTCTATTTACTACAGTGAATTTATTTTTCGGAGCCACATCAGTTTCAATTTTGCTACCTTCCGTTTTTAATCACAAATAAAATTCATATTATTTTTTAATACACGAGCATGTAATTTATCTGCATGAGGCACTATCACCACTCTCTCGGCACACGGACGTTCACCATGATTGGTCAAAGCTCTGAATACACGTCTTGCAACCAACATGCATTTCTCTGCGACTGATCGCGGTCAATGTGTGCGATGCTCTGTATACGATCCCTGTAACATGCCAAGCACAGGAGATTTGAAGTGCATCCAATAAACGAAAGGCAGATTACAATACAACGTAATTTTAATTTGTTTCGTTGCACACAAATTGAATGTCAGCTAAAAATCGATATCGAAACCTGACAAAGGGTGCAGCAAGTTACTGACGTCATACTCATATATATATATGGTCTCCCCTTACCAGCGTTTCCACTGTCTGTGTGCTTCTTTCTGAGGACCAGGTGGTAGTTACAGCTTAGGCTTTCAATTGTTCCGAATCACATATTCGGATATTAACTGGAATCGGACATTTTAAGACCGAAAGCCAGGCAGCGTTGGCGTTATAGGTCTGTGCATAACTTTAACTGCAAACCAAGAACTGAGAGGCTACAGGTCTTCAAACATGAACTGATAGGCTATAGGTCCTCAAATATAAACTATGCAATAGTGAAAACTGATTTATCTAGTGGGCAAGTCTTGCAACAGTGGCCAGAAAAACGAGTCTCATTACCACATGGTTTATATCTGAGACGCGATACAAACTCAGAATTGTGACTTTCACAAAACCGATATAAAGAGCTAAGTCCCGACTTTATGTAGCGTTCTTTCTTACAGGTGTGACAAAGAACGAGAAACCATTTACGAGCGTTACACATATGCATATAACAGTAAAGGATGAAAGAAGGGGGATAAGAAGAGGAATGGGGGGTTGTGCCTTCTATTTCCATTCCATGCCATTCATCAAGGCACACCACCCCCGCCCCCCGCGCCTGCTACTCTCGCTGCTCTATCACAAGACTCACAACACATGATAAAATATACATAAAAATGAACTCATTCTTACAGCAATGTACATTACACTTATAGTACCATGCAGCATCCCCTGAGAGACTTTTAATAAGAACCATCGAATTACTCATGTGCCAAAAAGATTTAACCGCTCACCCGATGAAGTTCCGGTTTCAAGCATTACAAGTTTCTAAGCAACGCAAAACAGAACACAACTGTATCTGCAGCGCATTCGCTCCCCCGTCCTGACTGCAGAGGCTACCCGATCTCGCGTCCGCTCTGCATAGTCCTCAGCTAGTAAGGAGGATGTGGCTGACCTCGTCCGAAAGGTCCTTCCCAAGGACATCTTCATATTTAATTCTGAATCACAACTAGCTAGGAGGTCCTGCTCAACACAGCTGAAGTATAAACTGCAAGAACGTCTTTCAAGACAATTCTAGCTTCCGCGAAATATGTTCGTATTCACAATAATAACTTTGGTTTCGTGATTAAACAAAGAAATAATGATCGCTGAATGGGTTCAAATGAGACAAATGTTACCACTGTGTTCCCACAAAATACACGTACATAGCAGCAATTTTCCACACTGCGTACTGTACAAGAACTGACACGATGGGCCCAACTGTAACAGCAGAGAGCCTTTCCCACAAAAATGCACAAAGCTACACTATTTTATACGAAAATAACATTTCGGCACATGTAAAAACCATAATTTTGAGTTTAAAAAAAAAGCAAAACCCTTTACCGTAGGATCTCGCAATAAGTCTCGTGACTGCTATCAGGATAGACTGCATGGCCACTATGCACACAATGATGTCACTTACTAGCTGAATGGCTATCATGATAACAGTTTTCAGGCTAAATCTGCGATTACACAGTACGAAGAGATCTTCCAGACTCGGGCCGAGAAGCTCCATGACCAGGGCACTGTATCGCCCTCCGCACGTACCGAAGTGATACACGCGGGGAATCCCTTCTAGAATTAACATACACACACACACAACTGACTCACTTCCACCATGTACAGGATGACCACACAGGAGGTTCTCAGAGAGTATGTGGCCTCAATATACAGTGCTATCAGTGCGGCTATAATACGTTATGGCCAAACGTTTTAACGTTATAGCGAATGTCCTAATTGTTTTCTAAGCTTATATCTTAATTGCTAAATACCACGTACCGGATTCTCTAGTGTCTGTATTATACGAGATGCGAAAGATTCCGCAGCTTAAATGACATTCAAAAGACTACGCCTATTTAGGATAGGAATGGCAAATATAAAAATGAATCTGTGCCATTTCTGTCACACACAATCCTGCGAATCAAGACTTGAGGTTCCCACGACAGTGAAGTTTCATAGTGTGATAAACTGGATTACGACACTGCTGTTATATGGTAGATAGGTCTCGACGTTTCGGAGAAGCACTCAACCCCCACATTTTTGGCATAAGCGAACCAATGTTACCATGAAGATGGAGGCAACGTTCCTGCGAAACGATTATTATTATTATTATTATTATTGGAGGGGGTGGGTTTCCCCATGCGCCGCGACTAATAGTCTATTGTACGTCCCCCTTTGATATTTTACCAGTCGCCATGCCCTTCCGGTACTGGTGCTCGCTATCAGCCCCATTCAGCCAGCGAGGTCGGCCACCGGAGGAACTGGAAACTACTTGAGCGGGAAACTTTTGCCTAATTTTGCTCAGAGGTCTCCTAGAGACATGAGGATCTTTTACGTGCCGTAAATCTACGACACGGAACACACGGCTTAAAGTCCCTCCCGGAGAACTTGTTCCCTGAATTTTTCCGCCCTTAAAAATTCCACGACCTAGGCCGGGTTTGAACCCGCGTACCTTGAGTCATGAGGTGGGAACGTTACCCCTAGACTATGGAGGCCGCTTGCGAAACGGTCATACCAAAACACGGAAGGGCGTTATTTATTTCTCGTCACATCGCAACCCCCTGAACACTAGAATCCCGTGATGAAATAAACATTAACAATGTTTAGTGTTAATTTCTACCAGCACCACCCCCACCGTCTTCAGAAGGACGACAAGTAGAAGCTAGAAATTTATTTATGTTTATTACTGGCTCTAAACGGGGTTAAACGGCAAAAGAAAATGGTTTCGGTTAGCATACCACAGAAACAACAAATTCTCAAAATGTGTGTCATGTACTTGCAACAGTATATAATCGTACATTACTCTATATTATAAGTTACATCAAACATATTTGGCACAAAAATATATTTACCAGTCTATTTCGCTTTCAAACTCTGGCATGCGAGCTGGAAAAGTTTCGCCATCTCAGAATCAGGCTCTGGGTGTCCTAAATACGGAGATGCTCTTGACCTTGTTTATAGTCAATTTAAAATTCATAATAACTGGAATATATATCACACACAATAGCAAGCCGGTATAGACTTTTTAGTCTCAATTTCAGCCACATTATCTCAGCATTTTCCAGAATTGTTGGCCATCCTGCTTAATTAGATCAAATTCTACAACCGAATTACAGCTTTCACTGCAATTCAAAAGCTGTAATTCCATATTTCATATCTGCAAGACTCAGTCTTCTTGGTTCTGTACATTTATAAACAAAATACTGTTAAATTCTGCTGAAAGAAAGTTCACACACATGTTTAAACATTTAGCAATCGTGAAACTACGATCTGCACTCAGCTGCTGAAATAGAAATTCATGTAATAATGATACAGGAATGCATGTTTGTTGGCACAAGTTATGTCAGAGACCAGGTTCAAAAAGCGCTAACACCAGGGTATGGCGCCTCACTTGCCTGGCTGCTAAATGAGGGCCAATGCAATGCCACAAAATGCACGAGATGTTTTAGGTTACGTCAAGTTTTCACTCATTTTCAGAACACAAGCTTCTTCAGCTGTGGCAACAATGTTCAAGTTGCGGTGAAAAAAACAGATGTACATAAGATTCTAATTAACTACAATCTAAAAGAAATGTGTTACAACACATTTTGACGCAACCTAACGTAATATAACGACATGCCCACTTTAATCATATACTGATTATTCTGCACAGTAACTAGGAGGTAACACTACATAGGAGGCAAACAGACCTCTTACTTCTCACGTACAAACAAATGCAGCATATTCTTGCAGGGGTTATAAAGCCTCAAATTACGCAGTTTTCTTCAGCGTCTTATTACTTCATTCCTCTTGCGCCCAAATATTCTCCTTAGCACTCTGTTCTCAAACACCCCCAGTCCATGGTAAAAAAAAATGTTAAGCTATCCCTGTAACAGGCCGTTGAGGCCCATAGGGTTGTGATAGGTCGAGGCTCCCACATTTTTTAGACAATCAGCTTACAGATGGCGGTAAAGTTGTCAGCCTCACGAGCCGGCCGTCCTTTAACCCCAGGAAGAGTCCTGGTACTCATTTCTGTTAAGAGGCCGAGTCGACGCCGCGACCTTCCGGCTTGTAGCACAATGCCTCAAGCATGCTACCGCGTGCCCTTAACCCCAGTCTGTGTCCTTCCCTTAATGTGTTCCTTCTACCGAATTCTATATTTATGTTACTGTTCATAACGCGCTGTTTTAGTAATTTCATGAATATGTATTAAACATTTCACTTTTCTAAGAGCGGAGCAGCCTCAATGTGTAACACCAGCGTAAGAAAAAAAACTGTCTCTATAAGACATTAGAGAAATCCGTTGTTATGACGGTTCAGTATTGGCCCAAGCTTGGCCCCTGGGCTCTGATTCCAAGGATCAGGATATCCAAGAACATCGGGGTGCGCTGTTACAAGAAAGGCAGAATCTACCCTTGGGAGAAGCGCTTCCCTGCGCATCAGGGAGAAGACCGTGGGCATGTCGGAAAATCGGGGCTTGGTGGTAAAGGAAACGTTTAAAATGCTCCTACTGGGGTTCTACCCCGGTAGCAAGTACATTCGAACTTGATGCCATATCCAAATCCACGATGTTATACGAAGAACTGACAAAAGTGGGTAATTCATTAGTCTAGCTTTAACCAAGCAACGTCGAAGTATGGAGTGTGCCGATGTACATATACATTCCAATTGTTTAAACATCATGAACCAGCAAGCATTTTACCCGATACGACTAATATCGCTGTGATTCGGGTGTCATTCTGAATTATCGATTCACCTGCCGGAAATTCCTACATATAATGGAAAATGAACTAAGCTTCAAGCGTCAATTTTTGGTGAAAAAATCCGCGTGCAGGCTGTGTACCGGCTGACGATAAAACACCAAATGCCTCATGCAATTTTCTTCATTATTTTGTACCGACGCTTTAATTTTCCAATTTATCGAATCTTAAACGGTTTCGCGGACCAGCGGTTGATAAACATGGAAAGTAAATATGGCCTACTTCTCTATACCATATCAGGTTGCATTTTTGCACCTTCTATCATGAGAATTTGCTGAGAGATCATGATTCGAACCGAGCACCTGCCCAACACACATCCGACTCGTTACTTCTGCCCCAAGTCCTCAAGCACAGTCGTTCGTAAGACGCTAACACCCAGCTACCCGCCCAAAAAAATCCCAACTTTCATGAACCCCGAAGGTTCATTATCGCGTTCACAAGAGCCCCTTCCCCTCCACCCTCCCCCACAGATGAACTGGTTTGCTCCACAAAATAACTACAGAATCCACCATTTGCTGCAAGGCTTAATAAAAATAAACATTTTATTGGCCGTGCAGTCAAAGGCGCTTTGTATGCTCATCGGCCAAGGACTTGTAAAGTACCAATACCACATCAGAAGACTCCTACCAATTTCTAGAGCATTCAATGTTTCAGAACAAGTTCTGAACCGGAATCGAAAAGTGTACCTAATATATATGATAGTTTTTAAAAAAGAGTAAACCAATTGCGAGTAATAAAACTGAGAGGAAAGGGCCAGATGCTATTCTGGCTATACTGCGAAACTACTGAGAAGAGTGTGTAACTCTTCCATTGCGTAGTTACGGGGTTTCGTGCAACTTATTTCAGATACTGATGATGGCTTCCCAGACATGAAATGAGGGAAGCGGAAGTTTTTTGAGACTGAGCAGTAGTACGTTACTCAAAGGCACTGTACAACCGTGGAACGGGGGGGGGGGACTTAGCTTTCCTGTACAAGAATTGAGCTATGCTCATAACATGAATATTCGACTCGATAAACAAATAACCGTCTTCTGGGATGTGATGCCGTGTATATATTTTGTTAAGCGACGTTTCGGAGGAACGTACAGCCTCCATCTTCAGGATATAAGAAATCTGCGAGCGATGAACCAGCATGAAGATGGAGGCGATACGTTCATCCGAAACGTCGGTTAACAAAATATCTACACGGCGCCATACCCCACAAGACGGCATTCTTCATAGTCACCGCCGTAAAAAAAAACTTTAATCTTACAGACAACTGTTTGCATTATGGAGGAATGAAAGTACTGCAGGTATACAGAGGGGCATGAATTCTGAGCAATATCAATGTACCTGGAAAGTAATTATGCTCTGTTAGGGGTTCCTTTCACCCCGTATTAAACCTGGTTCCTACACACCAGGAAGCAATAATGCAATGTCAAAAATTGTTAATATGTGACTAACGCTATGGATGGCCGTGCCATAGCTCAAGAGGTTAGTCGCTGGCTTCCCAATGTGGCGGCCCAGGTTCGATCCCGGGTCTGGTCAAGTGGGATTTGTAGTGGAGAAAATGGCGCTGGAGCAGGTTTTCTCCCGAGTACTTCGGTTTCCCCTGCCAATCTTCATTCCACCAACTGCTCCACAATCACCCTCACCTATCATCTGGGGCTGGCACAATAGGCCAGAAGTGGCCGCAGTACAAGGGACTTAGTCCCACCCCACTAGCAATAAAAAAACGCTAAGTATTTATTCAACAGAACTTCTGTGATGTTGCGGAAAAGAGGGTTAAGTCGCGAAGTGTATTTGGCAGAGAGGCACCAACGTTTCGGAGATCTGCTGCCTCCATTTTGAGATAGA